CGCCCAAGAATCGTGACGGTCCCGAGGGGGATTATGTTATGATGTATATCCCTTCTTTGCTCTCTCTTGCCTGCGAATCTCTCCGCCTCTCTGTCTGTCTGTCTGCCTTTCTCTCTCCTCTCTCACGATTCACCCCCATTCGTTTCTCATGATACGGTACCCCTCGAGACCCTGTCACCTACCCCCTGTCACCTACCCTCTCCCCCTCCCTTTCACGCACTCCCTCCCGCGAACGCAACAGCGCGGCTGCCGCAAAAGCGAAAAAGGATCGTTCTAGCACGCCTCAATCAGGGCAGGCCGAGGACGAGGGTTGGGTCGATCTGGACTACGAGTGGGCCAACATGCCGTTCACGGAGGCACTAGGGGGTGGGACAAACCCCCTCGAGTTCGTCTTGGACATGCTCCCCGGCACGCGGCGGGGGATCTCCGGCGAGGAACTGGACGACGCCTATGCCATGATGCCCCACATACAGGTGCTGCGCATGTTGTGGTTGCTGCTGCTGCTGCTGTTGTTGTTGTTGTTGCTTTTTTCGCTTTTTTTTTAATCGAATGGGCCTCTTCGCACGCGCAGACAGTCCACAGGAGGGGGCCCCGTTGGATGGTTGCGTACCCTTGTCTTTGTGCATCATCACCCGTGTAATTGTGCGTATCTTGTGAGGGGGTATTACAGCACGCACGCGCGAACGTTAATCGTTACAGCAGTAAGCGTGGTGGCAGCGGTGGAGGGGATGTTTGATCGTCGCGCCGGTTGACAGCGTCCAATCCATTTTTATTCCACCAGCACGCGCCCAACATTGTTCTGCTTGCATGTGTTCTGCTCATACTCAGTTTTCAGCACTTCACTCTCCATCTTTTGCTACAAAAGCTTGAACTTGCTCATTCCACAAATCACACACGCCCGTGCTTGATACCCTTCTCGACAGAATATTAAAAGAGAGTGTTTCCCACTATATTGAATCATTTCAATGCCAGAAGGGTTTAGCCGTTATTTCCCGCGGGTGTGCCTGGGAGCCTAGCGCCTCCGCAACGAGGAAAGCGCCGTGTTGTCAGCGGCTCCGTCTCCGCAAGGATACCAACTGCACCGCCGGTGCTGCAATACCGCAACTAAATTCCGTCGTCCCTCAGCAGACATGCCATGTAGCTTCCATTCGTCCCTAGTTTGATTCACGGTGGAGTTCCGTTGGGACTTACCTTCTGAATCGATGCACCTCTCACAGTAATCCCCGCAGGTATTTCTAAGTAAGCAATATTACTGGATAAAATATAGAATCGGCTGAGTTGGGGGTAGGGTTAGGGTTTGCGTGCCCCCTTCCTGGTCTTTTTGTAATGAACTTGCGTTCTTTGCGCAGGCAGTCCCCACCGTCATACCCTCTCTACGGTGCCCCCTCTGAATGAAGGTACATGTACCTGTCTCGCTGATTTCCTTTCAGTGGTGCCCCCTCCTCTCGTGTTGTATCTGTCTTGTACCACACATCGGCACCAACAACTCGCCCACCCTGACGCTTGGCGTTTTCAGGAATCTCTGATGGAGAAGACGGGGTGGGAGGGGACTGGGACGGGCTACGAAGACACCCCCGTGGGTTTCTACAGGGTAAGAAGGACTCGATTTTCGGAACAGATTTCCGGTTTCGTCGCCGGACGCAAATATCTACGGCCGAGTCTGTTCCAGGCCTTTGATTGCGCCGCGTGTGTGGTTGCTTGCAAGAAGACAGTTGGGGGTTGGTTGGAGAAGGACTGGCCTTAGATCACCCGTCTGGCTCGTTGCTATTGCGTAGATCGGTGGTTTGGTACCCCCTCTGAGGGGCTGGCTCAAGGAGCGCCTGCTGCTGCAGCAGCCGTTGCCGGACGGAGTACGTTTCGGCTGCTAGGCGGGCCTCGGTCGCTGGCCCGCACAGCGACAGCAGGTTTTGAATCTGTCTCCAAGTTGAACACGCTACAGCTGTAGGGTGATCCGCCCCCACGGTATCACGACGACGAATTTGACTCCTAAATGTCTCCGCCTCCGCCGCCGTTTTTGATCTTACCCCCGCTCAGCCATATTTGGTTGACATTTATCGTAGGAAGCCTGAAACGTGAGGGAGGATGAACTGGACAGACAGTGAGGAGCGGGATCATTTTTTTGCTGTTTTGCGTGGACTTCAAGGTTATTTTTTTTTAGCTGGCCCAACATGTTATATATCTCCCGCTCTACAGCACGTACGTAACGCAACGCGGTTCCGTACATCAGCTCTGAACCACAAGCTTGCTTTGTTCATCGGCGCTTGTCGCTCGTTCCCACATGCATCATCCAACCGCTGCCTCTCTTTCATCTTTTTCTGAAAAATACAACACAAATGAGACCGCAGGACACCAACCTGAAACCGTTGAACTGGAGGGACGCCATGGTGTCCATGAAGCCCGGGTCGGGCACGTTGGGGCTCGACCCTCACTTCGACGACACCTCCGGAAGCCCCGAGCAGGTAGAGAGACGTCGGGAGCGTGGCTTGCTCAAGGGCGTGGGAACTAGGTACAGGGGTCCCCCGCCGGGCACGCATGGCCCTTGGCGATGGGGACAGCTGGTCAAGGGCTCCGCGTTGGAGGAGGTGAGGGAGCGGCAACGTGCATCGCTATGTGCAGCGGTTGTGCAATGTAGGGTTTTCGTCTTGAACGGAACAAGAGGAATCTCGAAATTTTCACTCAGATGTAAGGTCAAGACGGAAACTGTAGAAGAGCGCTTGCACGCGAGTGTTTTCGCAC